CAAGAGGGGGTGGAGACGAGACCAGTCATCTTGTACAAGGAGAGAGAGCAGCAGTGACCAGTCTTTGGTGCACATTTATTAAACAGAAATTAATTTCAGTTCTCAATAAAATCATCTCCTGTGTTTATGAAGCCGAGAACAGTTGCTCTCAGGAGGAGACGTTATTCCTGTGAGAATGGCTGCGATTTGAGTAGAAGTGGAAGGGCTGCCAGTGATCTCACAAGATTACAATGCAGTTGAGTTTAAAGAGGAGTTCCAGCCCCCCCCCCCCCCCCCCCAAAAAAAAAAAAAATAAGTCAGCAGCTACAAATACCTCAGCTGCTGACTTTTAAAGGCTCAAGGTTTTTTACCTTCATGCAATCTATACATGAAGGTAAAAGTTTCTGTGTGCAGCAGTGCCCCCCCCCCCCCCCCAATACTTACCTGAGCCCCATCAAGATCCAGATGCTTGCTGTGGGGGCACCCGATAGAAAGGAGGAGCCGGCTGGGGACCCCAGAAGAGGAGGATTCGGGCTGCTCTGTGCAAAACCATTACACACAGCAGGTAAGTATGATATGTTTGTTATTTTGCAAAAAAAGAACCTTTTATTATCACTTTAACATGAGGACATTTACCTGTTCAGGGTCCAGTGCCGTTGTCACCTCGGCTAGGTTTTCACTAGCCTCTGGGTTCCTGGTGCCGGCATTGCAGGTGAGTGAAACTGGAAGTGAAGCCTTGCAGCGTCACAGTTTCCTACTGCACATGTGCTTGTTGCACTGCGCATTGATTGGTTCCACATTCTTCTGGGACTTGTGAAGTGTCTCAGTAGACTTCAGGGGGAAGGATGGGGGCCGAACCTCCGGCTTAGTTCGCTGCAAGTGGGAACAGGTACCTATCAAAATCAGGTAGCCGCTCCCCTCTCCCTCCTAAAAATGTGCCAAATGTGGGGGGGCAGACAAGCAGAGTGTCCCCTTTTGAAGTGAAACCAAGGTTAAACAGACCATGTAATTACATGAAAATAATAAGTCCTGAGCACTGGAGCTTTTTTTAACGGGCATTTTTTTTAACGCTCATTTCGGCACATTCTTTAACTGCGTGTTTTACCCCTTTTTATTGCACATTTTGTCAGTTTTTGTAATGCGCATTTGGGCACTTTCCTAAACACATTTTGGCGAAGGTTATTTTCACACACATTTTGGTGTAGTTTGTAATGCAAATTTTGGCGCTTTTTTTAACACCTACTTTGGCACTTTTTGTAATGTGCATTTTGATGTTTTTTATGCGCATTTTGGCAAAACGCACATCTGCAGCCACTTTTGGGGTGCTATTAATTAATGGCACTGCAAGTATGAAATACTTTTTGTATGAGTTTCCGGAACACACACAAAAAAGCGGTTTTAGAAAGTAAGCCAAAATACATGTTTAAAAAAGGCACCAAAATGCACATAAAAAATGTGCTAAAATGCATTTTAAAACATGTGCTTTTAAACGTTGCACCAAAATGCGCATTAAAAAAAAATTGTCCAAAAAGCCAAACTTAACCTTTTTGGGCATGAAGCGGTCTGCGTTTTCTCAATGCGTGTTTTGGTGCGTTTGTAGCGCATTTGTAAAATGACAAAATGTTCAGCAAAATATGTCTGCTAACCGCATTTGGGGTGCCATTAACAATGAATGACACCCAAAAGCGCACTGCGTATTTTGACACAATTTTAGCGCCATTTGGAATCGAAGCCAGAATTACGCAATTCTCCCATCAATTCTGCATTGCTCAGGTGTGAATGGGGCATAAAAGACAACACAGTATAAAAAAGGGCATATATGGTTAAATAGACAACCCCATTGGTGGTGATATTAGGAAGAGAGAAGCCTTCTTCCTCACATCACAGCAGATTCACCAAGATTCTCCAGCTCTGGCCTGGGGATATATTACAGGGATGGCCAGTGATATCTTCAGCTCTCACCTTCATAAACCGGCCATCTCTGTAAAAGTGAATGACAGAAGGGTGTGTCCTGTGATGAGCTGTCAAGAGCATGTTCTCCTCTCCTCAGCTTCATAAACTGGCACACATGAGAGATCAGTTGAGATCATCAGGATCTCAGCTTTTCTCTCTCTCATAAATGGGACTCCTTTATTACCGGAAGTTCCTGCACAGAAGAAACATTTCACACTGAATTACTGCACAGATCTGGAAGAAATATACAAAGCAAACCAAGATTCAATGAAGAATACATGTCTATTTATTTAGATGATGTTTGCTTATCTCAGTTCAGCTTTAAAAAAATATTCTTTTATTTATTTTTTTTCCATTTGAGCCTGTAAAGCTTTGCAACTGTGATCATTGAATTGTGGGTGCAATGCTCTTGTTCCTGCAGACTTTTCCTCCAGGTACAGACCTTCAGTTAGAGAGATGGAGGAAATATCATGGGTGGCATTGCTGCACTTGTGCACCATTGAGAACTAAAAGGTTCTGCCTGCACCATGGTAGTAAATCCAAAGAACCACCAGATTTTGTACGGTGTGGAGGGGGTGGGAGGAATCTGTAGACTAACTGTTTTTCATGTTACATCCTAAATATTTTCATGGTCAGAAAGATGAACATATATTTTAGGCAGGCCAATTTTCTCTTATTCCACCTGCAGGCTCAAAGAGAGATTAGGCAGTTCCCTCTTCCATGGTACCAGTGTGGATGGAGGAATCTCCACTGCCAGCCATTGTGTTCAGGCAGCCTTTGGCCAGCAAATAAAATATCATTGACAAAGTTTGACTGCATGTAATAGGACAGTGATTTTCCATCTGGCTCAATTGATTTTTAAATTGATTTTTGTCAAGCTAGGTGGTGCTCGCAGGGCCACCCACTACCCACATTTTGGCTCATTCAGCAAGAATCAGCTGAAATGTAAACAGTCTATGGCCAACTTAAAGTAATATTAAAGGCAATTTAAAAAAAATAACAAACATGTCTTTACTTACCTGCTCTGTGCATTGGTTTTGCACAGAGCAGCCCCGACTCTCCTCTTCTCAGGTCTGCCGCTGGTGGTCCTGGCCCCTCCCTCCTGCCAAGTGCCTCCAGAGCAAGCGGCTTGCTTTGGGGGAACCCAGTCCGCTGCTCTGCATGTCCATTCAAACACAGAGCTGTGGCTTGGCCTCGCCCCCTCTCCTTATTGGCTCACTGGCTGTGACAGCCAGTGGCTCCCACTGCTGTCTTCAGGCAATGAGGAGGGAGAGTCCTTGTAGAGTTGAGGCTCTCATGCACATTGCTGGATAGTGATGGGGCTTAGGTATTGGGGGGGGGGGGGGGGTCGGCTACTGCACACAGAAGGCTTTTTATCTTCATGCATAGAGTACATGAATGTCAAAAACCTTGAGCCTTTACAACCACTTTAAACTGATATCAAACTCTAGTGTAAAAAAAAAAATATATTCTACTCAAGTATGTATTCTCAACTCAAAATGTACCTTTTATTTCTATCGGCCTCCTCCAGATCTCCAGAGACCTTTTTCATTTGCTGCTGTGATCTGACTTCCTGTTAGAGGGTGGCTACATTCATTCTCCATGGTCCCACTGAATGAAGGAATGTAGCCACCCTCACTTGCTTGCTCCCAAGATGGATGATGGGATGTGTATTGTGCACAGAGCAGTGCACATGAATACAGCTAATGCCTAGTACACTCTATCAGTTTTTTTTTTTTCATTTAACCCAGCGAGCAGGCTGAAGGAAAAAAAAAACTGAAGCACTCCTTGAAGAGATCGCTGTACTAACTATCCGATGTGAGTACAGCGATTTCCCTGCTGAGCTATTGTGTGTTGACAGGGGGACTGCCCTCCCACCAAAATACACTGGTCAGTGCTCACAGCCAGTGGATGCCAGCACTGATTGCATGCCGATCACATGCTGGTGTTCCAGCATGCCCGTTTGACAGAAGCCAGGTTCTGTCAGATAGGCTGGTGTACACACAGGCCGAACGTTTCTGTTGAACCGGACGATATTCGGCCTGTGTGTATGGGGCTTTACATGCACTGCTGAGTCCCAGCAAATCAAAGTGAGGGAGAAAAGAAGAGGTTCAGGAGCTCATGGAGGACGTTACAGGGAAGCCTAAAAACACAGCAAGACAGACTACATGAAAAATAGTTTACAGGGCCATTAAGCACTGGAAGTGCAAGGATTATTTTTGGAGAATAATCATGTCTTTTAGTGTCACTTTAACCACTTGAGGACCGCCTGCAATATACTGTGGACAGGCGGCCTGTGTACCTGTACATCGCTGGCCTCTTCTAGGTACAGGGTGTGCACGCACCCCCTCCTGCTGACCTTTGTCAGCAGGTCAAGGCCAATAATTCATGGTCGGGATCTGCTGACTGTCGAGCTGCAGCCCAGAGCTCTGTGTTGACAATCAACACAGGGCTCTGTACAGAGGTAACAACATTTTGTTTCTTCTCCCTACAAGCTTTAGTATCACTTTAAGATTTTGAAAATGATATATTGTTTTTCTTCATTTTTTATGTAACAATATTAGGCTTCATTCAACCTTATGTTGCATTTTTACACAGCACACACCACTGCAATTGTATGATGTGAACAGGGCACATAGAAAACAATTAACGTACCCTTCCATTGAACTTTCTTTGATCTATGCAGGTCAGCACAGCTCAACGTTCATGGTGTGAATGAGCCCTTGCACTGGTGAAAGGTGGTCTGAACAGCAACCTAAAACTTGCTCGGATGGTCAGGTCATTGATACAGTGTGCAAATCTGATGACCCAGCATTCCTGGCAGGGGAGGGTCCTAACCACTGTGCCTCAATAATGGGAGCACTAGATGTTCTACTATATCCAGAGCCCTTCTGAAAAAAGTTTTTTTTTTTTTTTTGTATGTTACATTTTTTTCAGTGCTAATCCAGTACTGTAAAAATGATCTGATATTTATGAAAAATGACATCTGCTTAACAGGGATAACTGCTTTTTGTAGTTCTTCCTCCAACCAATATTGCATCTTTTTTTACAGTGCCCCATCACAGAAAATGATGGAAGAGAGTGGCATTGAGACAACACCTCCTAGTACCCCACCCCCCAGTACCTTGGGAACATCGACTGGTGCTGCTGCACCTGTTACCACCCCGGTTCCACCAGGTAGGATTTGTTGCTTGGAAATGTAATTGATTACTCTGGCTGCTCTTGTTGAGAGAGAATTTAAGATGTGAGGGAGACGAGACAAAAATGCTGGTGGGAATGTTTCACTTCAATGTCCTAAAGCATTACAAGCAAAAAAGAAAAACAAAATTAAAGTGTGAGTTAAGTAAAGTGTTAATTTAAACAGCCCAGAGGATTAGTGTAAAACATGTTTTAAACAGCTGGTAGGTAGTGCCCAAAATTCCAAACTACTACTCAACTGGTATGTTCTTCTTGGCCCCCTCCTTCCCCTGGTGTGCATCAAGAAAATGCAACGATAGAGCTAGTTATGTGCTGTCCCATAGAGGAGAATGTCCAACAAGTCACTTACCCGTCTTATCCATGCAAGGGATGGCTAGAGGATAAGAAGTGTAGCCTAGAGCTTCAAGACAGGCTAGTGGCTGGAAACACATGACTGCTGCAGAAGGCATTTATATGTATTTTTATGCTTCTGAGGACAGATGGGGATTGAGATGTTGCCCTCGTAGAGACATAGATGGCAGTCCGACAGAGACTCTAACTTTTCCAGCTCTATCTGAAAAGAAATTCATTTTGGCTGGAATTGGGCTTTAAAGCAAAACAATTTTTTTATAAAACACACTTGGAAATTGTGGAAATTGTTAGGTGGACATGGTGCATGTATTCATATTTCTTTCAAATTCAAAACTTTTTGTGACCTATTCAGAGGTGATGGTGTAGGCAAAGCAAAGGGACCTGGCAATCTTTATGAGCTCTTGGCTTTATTTCTACAAACTGCTCGGCTAGTGGTCATAGGCTTTGCAGGTGTCCCTCTTAATATGGCATGCATAAGGAACAGAGCACATCACCACACAGAACATCATTGGCCCCTCGCAGTCCTGTCCCATTTTCTTTTTTTATCATTTGACTGACAACTGGATTTAGTAAAGGAAGTAACAAGTGGCTTATAGAAGAGTAGGAGATTGACTGTTCTATTACACGTATATTTTCTTACAGTGTACAAAAGTGTGAAACATGAATGTGTTGAAAATAACAATTTGTTTCTGTTCTTCATTTCCAGTTTTATCGAGTCCTTTGGCTGGTCCATCCTTTCCACCTTCTCAGTCTTTCACTCCTCCTACCTTCTCTTCCCCTCTCCCACCATCCTCTGTTCCTCCAATGAGAACCTCTGCTCCTCTGCCATTTGCAACTCCTCCTCCTGCCCCAGGGGTACTAGCCGCTCCTCTTCACACATCTGCACCTGCAGCGTTCAGCAGTCCTTTGCCGTCATTCTCTTCTCCTGCTTCTTTTCCACCTCCTCCTCTCAGCTCTACCCCGGCTCCAGGCTTAGTGGCACCACCTATGGGTCCTCCTGTCACGGGATTTTCAATGTCTTCTACCTACGATATCACAAAGGGTCATGCTGGACGAGCACCACAAACACCTTTGATGCCAACATATTCTACACCCCCTGTCACAGGTTGTGTTCTTTCACATTTCTTCCTTTCTTCTCCCACAAAATAGGATTCTATATTGTTTCTGATTTATTTTTATCCAAGTAAGAAAACATACTGCTTTGCTGTGAATGTATGGTTTGCTATCAGTAGAATATAAATCTGGCTTATTGTAGACCATGTCACCTTTATCAGAGTGCATGAAATAAGTTATATTCATTTTGTTGTTACGTCTCCCCCAAATACCCACATAATAGCCAATGCTATTTTCTATCATAAGTTTGTATTTATTTGGTTACTGTGGGGCAGCAAAGACAGTTGTTATTTCAGGGACACTGATATGGTACTCCATTTTTTTAACCTAATATATATATTGTAAAATATATAACGCTTAACGCCTGGATAAGATTTTTATTTATATGTACCTGGTTCTGGTTATATTCTGTACATCTTCTGTCTTTGCAAAGAAAATGCAGTTCCTAAAGGACAAATGCACTTACAGTTCAGTTGTCTTTAAAAAAAAAAAAAAAAGTGTCTTAAAAATCTGCTAGGTTACAAATGGTGTAATAAGGTGTATTTAATTTCCTGGATTGCTGCCTGTGGATTTTTTTGTTTTGTCTTTATTTTTTTTTTTTTAAACTTCACTGATGCTGGAAAGTGCTCCAACAGTAGGCTAGCAGCTTCTGATACACAGAAGATGTCCCGTGTGCATCGTATCTCTCCTTGTCCATTCACAGAAAGCTTTGTATTCTTTGAACAGATTCACAGAATACAAAGCGTTCTGTGATTGGACAAAAGGATAGGAGAGCATAGAGAAATGACAGGACAGCTGCTCTGTTGGTAGTCTGTTGAAAGCATTGGGATTATGGAGAAGGCTATACTTCCCAGCATCAGTGGAGTTATAAATTGTAAAGATCTAGGAAATGAAATACCCTCATTGCATTTTGCTGTTTGTAGCCCAGTACATTTTTAAAAACTTTTTTTTTCTTGGAGGAGTTCTTTTTTAAAAAAGTTAGTCAACAATGATAGTTTGAAGATGAAAAAACTAATGGTAAAGGCAATAAATAAATAAAAAACATGTTTTACTTTATCTGCTCTGTGCAGAGGGTTTTGCACAGGGCAGCCCTGATCCCCCTGGTCTCGGGTCCCCCGCTAGCGCTCAATGGTCCTCCCTTCTGTTGAATGCCCCCAGAGCAAGCCACTTGCTGTGGAGGCACCCATGCAGGCTCGCTCCCGAGCCGCTGCTCTGCGTGTTCATTCCTCGTTCGTTCATTCCCGGTCTCTCCTCATTAGCTCACTGGCTATGATTGACAGCAGTTGGAGTCAGTGGTTCCCAGAGAGTCCCCAGAGAGCTGAGGCTCTCGTGCACGTCGCTGGATTGTGATGGGGACTCAGGTAAGTATTAGGGGGGCTGGGGAGCAGCTGCACACTTTTTTTTTTTTTTTTTTTTTTTTTTTTTTTTTTTTTTTTTTTTTTTTTTTACCTTCATGCATAGAGTTCATGAGGCTTTGTTCACACCATAAGTGCAGAAAAACTGATGGTAACTGACACGCAAATTTCACTTGCAGAGACATCAGTTTTTTCATGCACGCTTCAAGTGTGTTTTATACACGTTGCAGATTCCTGCACAGAAAAAATCCACGTGTGATACTAGTGTTGTGGTGTGAACAGGACACATAGAGAACAATTGATTTCTTTGTGGCCTTGCAGAACTTGTGCATAAAAACTGATTGTCTGTCAGTGATTTCCTTTTGCAGTTTTAAGTAGGGATGTGCCGATATTGAGTATTTTCATGAGTACTCGTGAAAATGATCCCGATACCCAAAACCAATACTTTGCTTTGCAATTTGCATCCATACAAAACTAATTGGTGCAAATCACCCTGCAAAGAATGCCATACGATTCGAACAGGAATGTGGTGCTATTCCTGTCCAAATCGCATGTGGTTTCCCTAGCGCTCCTTTGTGAACCCAGGCTTGTCATATCCTGAGTTCACACGGGAGCTGTGCAGGATACCTCCCTGCACAGATCTCATGCAGTCACACAACTAAAAGCCGCTTCACAGGTCTGGGGATTCGAACCCCCCCCCCCCCCCGGCTTTCTCTCCTCTCCTTGCAGTGGGCTAGACATCTTCTGATTGGGCTGCACCATCACAATGCTGACCAATCAGAAGCGGTCTAGCCTGTACTGTCATCCCTGCAAGGAGAGGAGAGAGAGCCACGGGGATTTCTAATCCACAGACGTGAAGTGGCTTTTAGTTGTCTGACTGCATGGGATCTGTGCAGGGAGAGTTTCCACACAGTTCCTGTGTGAACTCTGGATATGACAAGTCTGGGTTCACGCAGGAGCGGTGGGGAGAACTTCATGTGATTCGAACAGGAACGGCACTGCATTCCTGTTCAAAATCGCATGATATTCTTTGCAGTGCGATTTGCACCCATTTTGTATCTGTGCATGTTATTGGCGGCGAGTACTTGACCAAAAGTATCGGTACTCATACTTACCGATAAGATTTTAAAAATGGTTTTCGGTGCATCTAGTTTTATGAGCTCATCTACAATTGTGTTGTCTATTCTAGGTGGATTGCTTTTTACAGAGTGGCAAGGGGGTGGTGATACTGCCACCTCCTGAATTGCCTGTGGGGTTTTTTTCTTCCCTCAGCCAAATAGGCTTTTTCAATAGAAATACTGTACCACAAATGCAGCTTAGTATTTGGCTTGCGGTTTAGTGTGGCCAGATACACTTGAGGGAGGGGGGGGGGGATTTTTGTTGCTCTGTGGCACAAAGCTTTGCATTTGTGTACCCCTGTAGCAGCTTAAGAGGAGAGTAAAAATGCAGCTCGACCACCTGTTTTTAGCCCCCCCCACCGCAAGTGTAAAACTAGGCCTAAGTGTCACTCTTCATGGATGAAGTATGGCGGTGTGTAAGGTTCTCAGGTATTTTTCACTAAGCAGGCTCATTCGGGCAGTTTAGGAACCAAGTCTCACTCTTCTAGGTAAAGCTAGTTAGCATGAAGTAAATGAATAAATAAAAATTGGCACACAAGGCCTACACAGCTCCAGGTGTGTCCACCCTATACACTCCACTGTATCACTCATGTGCTCTTCAAATATGGCAAACAGCAGTATGAGCTCTTATGAATTTCAAGCTGCTCAAAGAGTAAAATACTCTTCTTGAAAGCACTGGGAGCAGTGAAAAATACTTTTGTCTGCTACATGTAAATAAAGGGGGTTTGCTGTATCCTAGTCAGGGCCGGCACTACCACTAGGCAAACTAGGCAGCCTCCTAGGGTGCAGCCACGGCCACTGGAAATTAGCATGACACAGATCATTTGTCGGTTGGTTCCGATCCAGCTCTGGTGGCGATGATGAGATAACCCAGTAGTTAGTCCTGGGCGTGTTCAGGTCCTCCGGCCATGTGACATCAAGGGGTAAGCATTCTCTCGCCGTGTATTGTACAATTGGAGAGGGCACGTCTTGGCTCTGTGGCTCCTCCCTTGAGCTCTCTGTCACTGTCGGTTCATCCTCCAAAAACAGAGCCGATGGCTGGTAGTGGCCTATTTCCGCTCAGCAATGATCGACAGCCTGAGTGCCATTCAGCCACAACCCAGCGTCCCTCCCCGCACTTAACCTGATATGCCGAGGCTCCGGCCCCATCTCTTACAGCGGGGCTTCTGCTGACGAGAGCTGCACAGGGCATGAGCCAGCTCAACTTCCTGACAGCCTAGCCCCTCCTCCTGCAGTGCCAGGATCCCTCTGTGTGCAGTGCTGCTTACAGGGCCCAGGGCGGGTGCAGAATAGTCTAGCACCAGCCATGATCCCAGTCATGTGAAAAGAGGTAATGGCAATAATCCTTGTTGGGAAATTGTTTCATTTATTATTTGCACTAGGCCTGTATTCTGTAAAGCAGTGTGTTTCATAAATGTGTGTGATAATAAGCGAATTCCCACAAGGCATAGCATCAGGTGCTGTCAGAAGGCAGACACCAAACAATTCTGGTCATGCTGAAAGTACACAATTATTATGGAACCAGATTGCATCACAGCCTATTCAAAACAAAGCAGAGATGTATTTGTATCAATATACAGTATTTTCTGGCATATAAGACTACTTTTTATACTTAAAAATATACCCCAAAAATTGGGGGTCGTCTTATACGCGGGGTATAAAATGTGAACCTTCAGTTTGTTTGGGTCAAGCTGGCTAGAAGTGTGGTAATACTGTACATACAGTATACCGTGCTGAGCCAAACTGGCTCAAAACAAATGTCACTATGACAGATTAATCTGTCAGCCCGCTGGATGTGCGGTATATACAGTATACTGCGCTGAGCCAAGCGGTTTCAAAACGTACCGGTACGTCCCTACGGTAATCAGCCCGCTGGATGTGTGTATGTACGGTAGCTGCGGCTACATACAGTATCCACTGGGCCAATCGCAGCGAGTGATGTATTTTACTAATGAATACAAAGCCTGCTCGGAGTCAGAGAGGTGGGCTGATGATGTCACAACCTCAGCCAATCCGAGCAGGCTTTGTATTCATTAGAATACATCGCTCGCCGTGATTGGCCCAGCGTATACTGTATGTAGCCGTAGCTACTGTACATACACGCATCCAGCGGGCTGATTACAGTAGGGACGTACTGGTACGTTTTGAAACAGCTTGGCTCAGTATACTGTATATACCACACATCCAGCGGGCTGACAGATTAATCTGTCATAGGGACATTTGTTTTGAGCCAGCTTGGCTCAGCGTGGTGTACTGTATGTACATTACTGCACATGCCAGCGGGCTGTATATATACTGTATACTGTATGTAGCCGAAGCTACCGTATTACCACACATCCAGCGGTAACCATCTGATTTGGAATTTGATCCATATGGTGACCGTCTTACAAATGTATCACAAGATGTCATTCATGAATTTATGATGTCAGAGGATGAACATGAGGATTTTGAAGGATTTTAAGTACCGGTAAGTCATAACGATTTCAATAAAAAAAATCTTATGTTTTTAAATGGTGTTGCCTTGGAAGGGGGGTAGTCTTATACGGCGAGTATAGCTCAAAACGTATGTTTTAACTGGAAAATTAGGGGGTCGTCTTATAAACCCAGTCGCCTTATACGCCGGAAAATATGGGTAGTTATAGAAATATTGGTGTATGATCTGGACAAGGAAACAAACACATTCAGTACATTTCTGCAATACATGCTACTTTCCCTGTTTTGGCTTTTGCAAAAATACATATTGATCCTGCCAAAAATAGGTTGCCTTCTAATTTCTGGTTGAGCTGACAACTTGTTGCTTGTTTCTAATATGTTTTCTCTGTATTGTAGTTCTGCCAAATACTGTTACACAACATGCTGCTAGTACTTCAGGATCATCCATTACCTTTCCCGAGGAGCCTGAAGATCCCCGGGTGCATGCCGTACACAATGAAGGACCTACTGGAGGGATATGGGGCTTTATTAAGGTGAGAAATGATACTGAATTTAAAAAATCTTTCTTTTGTTTTATAGAACACAGTAGCACAGTTACAAATATATAAATGTACTTTTTGTGTGTGGCTTGCTTGTGAAATTCAAAGTAGGGGGAAGAATATTCAATAAGTCCCCATGGTTGCAGAGGAAATATATATATAAATATATATATATATATATATATATATATATATATATATATATATATACACACTGCCTTGAAAAAGTATTCATATCCCTTGAAATTGTCCATATTTTGTCATGTGCCAACCATAAATGTAAATGTATTTTATTGGTATTTTATGTGATAGACCAACACAAATTAGCACATAATTATGAAGAGGAAGGAAAATGATAAATGCTTTTTCAAATTTTTTACAATTAAATATCTGGAAAATGTGGCGTGCATTTATATTCAGCCCCCTAACTAAAATCTAGTGGAACCAGTTGCCTTCAGAAGTCACCTAACTGGTAAACAGAGTCCACCTGTGTGTAATTTAATCTCAGTATAAATACAGCTGTTCTGTGAAGCCCTCAGAGGTTTGTTAGAGAACATTCGTGAACAAAAACATCATGAAGGCCAAGGAACACACCAGACAGGTGAGGGATAAAGTTGTGGAGAAGTTTAAAGCAGGGTTAGGTTATAAAAAAAAATATACCAAGCTTTGAACATCTCACAGAGCACTGTTCAATCCATCATCCAAAAATGGAAAGAGTATGGCACAACTGCAGACCTACCGAGACATGGCTGTCCACCTAAACTGACAGGCCACGCAAGGAGAGCATTAATCAGAGAAGTAGCCAAGAGGCCCATGGTAACTTTGGAGGAGCTGCAGAGATCCATAGCTCAGGTGGGAGAATCAGTCCACAGGACAACGATTAGTCATGCACTCCACAAGTCTGGCTTTTATGGAAGATTGACAAGAGAAAGCCATTGTTGAAAGAAAGCCATAAGCAGTCCCATTTGCAATTTGTGAGAAGCCATGTGGGGGGACACAGCAAACATGTGGAAGAAGGTGCTCTGGTCAGATGAGACCAAAAATGAACTTTTCAGCCTAAAAGCAAAACACTATGTGTGGCGGAAAACTAACACTGCACATCACCCTGAACACACCATCCCCACCGTGAAACATGGTGGTGGAGCATCATGTTCATGTTCTGGGGATGTTTTTCAGAGAAGGTGGTCAGAGTTGATGGGAAGATGGATGGAGACATACAGGGCAATCTAAGAAGAAAACCTGTTAGAGTCTGCAAAAGACTTGAGACTGGTGCGGAGGTTCACCTTCCAGCAGGACAACGACCTTAAACATGCAGCCAGAGCTACAATGGAATGGTTTTGATCAAAGCACATTTATGTGTTAGAATGGCCCAGTCAAAGTCCAGACCTAAATCTAATTGAGAATCTGTGGCAAGACTTGAAAATTGCTGTTCACACTCTCCATCCAATCTGACAGAGCTTGAGCTATTTTGCAAAGAAGAATGGGCAAAATTTTCACTCTCTAGATGTGCAAAGCTGGTAGAGACATCCTCAAAAAAGACTTGCAGCTGTTATTGCAGCAAAAGGTGGTTCTACAAAGTATTGACTCAGGGTGGCTGAATACAAATGCAGCTGTAATTGCATTTTTTTTTTCAATTATTTTTATATATTTTTTTTTAATTTTATGTGTTTACCATTTATTTCAAAGGATATGTTTAACACCTATTAACACACACAAAATATGTAAGTGGCAATCTATTCTGCTGTAATGCAGAGGCTGTGCTCCTTTCCACTTTATGTTTTACATTGAAGTTGGACTGAAATTAATGGACAAACTTAATCTGGATTTTATATATAGTAAATGCAGAATAGGAGCACCTTAGTTGGGATCCTGAAACTGCAATCTGTACCAAATTTGATTTTTGTGAAGCACACAGATTTTACTATGAGAGAAACACTTGCCTGACACACCAAAAATCACACTTTTCTCCCCTATTTCTGTGATACAATCTGTACATATTGTCATTTCTTTGCTCTGCTCTAGCCCTGCCCATGTGATGCATGGGGTTTAGCCAGGAAGGGCGTTTATTGATACTGATCTTGGCTAAACATGTATAGGAATTAGTGACCAATTTACTATCCAATGCTGCTTGGCACCTGCTCTATTTCCTAGACATCTTATCCTGTGCTTACCATGCTGCCTGAGGAAGTGGTTTCCAGCAGAAGCTAGGTGACCACTCTGCACTTTGTAAAGCTGAGACCAATGCTAAGGGGAATATTTACAAAGCAATGAATGTGACTGTGGCCAGAAATTCACTTTTGGTGAATCACTATCTTTCAAAACACATGCACCTGACAAATTCACTTGTAGTAAATGTTTGGTGGATATTATAAATTGCCCCTATGATTTTGCTGTATGTAATTTTGCTTTAAGTGGTTATATGTTTAAGGCTGTATGTAACCCACGGTTTTCGATGCACAATGAGAGAAAAAAAAATTGTTTGCTGGCTCTGTCCTAAAATAAGGAATAAAGTCCTTATTTTTTTTGTTATGTAATGCAGGTAAGAAGTGGAGAACAGCGTCTTTTTTAAGAAGGTTCTACTATGCTACCCAACTCTAATCAAAGCTAAAATATTGTCGGGCATAGTTTAAACACTCCTAGTCCTAAAGGAACAATCAAGCAGATGGGTAGGGCATGTTTGTTTTAACCGCTTCCTGACCGCCCTATAGCAGAAATACTGATTTGCGCTCCTGCGGTTTTCACAGGCCGGTGGTGGGCGCGTGTGGGTGCCGTGATTTGATCCTCGAGGGAGCAATCATTCCATTTAGGCCAGTGATGGTCAGCCTAATTCGGATGATCGATCCCTGTCCTATCAGGGATCTTCCTGTACCTGTGTTTACAGTTACACAGGTACAGGAAATGATGACATATTCTCTCTCTGGGCACATTCCGTCCTAGAGAGAGAAGATTTAAGACGCACAGTGAGTAAAAGCAGCGCACTTACTTCTGAACACTTTAGGAAGCATTTAACCCCCCCGTTAACCCCTTCACTGCCCTGTCACCAGTGTCATTAGTACAGTGTACAGATTTTTTGCTGATCACTGTATTCGTGTCACCGGCGAATTCAGATAGCGTTAGCATCAGTTAGCCCTCCCCTCCCAGATAGCGTCACATTGCCCGTTTGTACACCAGTAATCACATTTAAAGCCTTGATTGCCAGGAACACGCTCATACACAATAAACTTCCATTGCTAGTATAATGTCTGAATGGATCAATATCTTTGATCAAATCAGCACTATACCAGCGTCCACATTAGTATAGGGTCCCCAAAAACACAGCGTTATCGGGATCAGCCCTGGAACCTGCCAGCACCTGTGTTTAGCCCCTATGCTTACCAGTCAGTAGATCACTGTCACTTGATACATTGCACACAAAACCGCAGTGTTCGCAGAATCGGGCCTGATCTCTGTTAGCACTTACTATTACATTTTTTTTGTAGCGGTTCAAGCAGTCCCTGACAGCCAGGTGCTCTTTTTCCCGTGAGTCACACTAGATACCTATAAATTTAGTGGACAAAATGTCAATGGAAAGGTACACTAGTGAAGAGGCCTATAGCAGTGGTTCTCAACCTTCCTAATGCCGTGACCCTTTAATACAGTTCCTCATGTTGTGGTGACCCCCAACCATAAAATTATTTACCCAGTAATTATAATTCATGAGTGTCGTTTTACCTCCCATACTGCTGCTTTCAGCACAGTAGCTGCTTTTAACAGAGTAGCTGCTTTCAACACAGCAGCTGCTATCTACACAGTAACTGCTCTTTACACATCGGAAATATGTGTTTTCTGATGGTTTTAGGGGACCCCTGTGAAAGGGTCATTCGACCCCCAAAAGGGTCGCGACCCACAGGTTGAGAACCACTGGCCTATAGGATTCTGAGCATGTCAGGTGAGAACAAAGGGGAAGACTCCCTTACACAGGCCTCAGAATACGAACCTGTAGACAGCAGTGGCAGCCTGACAGCTCAAACGATGGAGAAGAGGTCCTGCTAAGATCAAGCGTACCCGACCCCATTCCCAGATTGCTGAGATGTTCCAAACGCATGATGACTCTCACATGCAACAGAGTGCCAGCACTAGTGCGGCTCTACCTTTTGGTGAACTGGCGAGCACCAGCAGTCTAGTACATCCTGGTCTTTCACATACCAGCACTGCAGTATCACTTGGTGACGTGGTGAGTCCCTTAAGTGCAGTACAAGCTGGTGCGGTGGCGAACACAAGTAGTGTCCCGCAGCCACCAGAATTTGCACACAGGCCTGTAGAGCCCCTAGTATTCTTCCGGATGTGCTTGCAATTCCCGATTGGCGGACCACAAATTCTTCAGCACCCATACTTCCCCCATTCACTGCCCAACCCGGAATTCAGGTGGAAACAGCAAATTTAAATATTCCCCCTTGATTTTTTGGAGCTGTTTTTTCACAAAAGATCTGTATGCATTGATTGTGGATCAAAGCAATTTATATTCACAACAATTTATCACTGCCAACCCAGATTCAAACCTTGCCAGACCATTCGCATGGAAACCCATTACGGTTTCCGAATTTAAAGTTGTTTTGGGCCTAACCCTCAACATGGGCATTACTAAAAAAAATTAATTGCGGTTGTTTTTGTCCACAGACCCAATTCATCATACGCCCGCGTTCTCTGTTGCCATGGCCAGGCATAGATATGAGAGTATAATGTGTTTTATGCATTTCAACGACAACACACTGTCGTCCTCGGAATTTGACCGGCTCCACAAAATTTAGCCCCTCGTAAATCACCTTAACCAAAAATTTGCAGATGTCTATACTCCCCAGCAAAACATCTGCTGATGAGTCCCTCATTAATTTTTCTGGCCACCTTGCATTCAAACAATTTCTTCCCAGCAAGCGTGCAGATATGGGGTCAAGATGTAGAAGACCTGTGAGAGGGCAACAGGCTATACATATATGTTTCGGATTTACGAGTGAAAAGATAGTCACTTGGAGCCCCCCGGATGCATGGGGAGCAGTGGCAAGATAGTTTGGGACTTGGTGTCATCCTTTTTCCATATGGGGTACCACTTTTACGTGGACAATTTTTATTCAAGTCTTCTATTATTTAGACATTTGTACGATCTTGGAAATGGCACATGTGGCACCGTGCAATCTAATGGCCGGGGCTTCCCCCAACAGCTTGTAAATACCCATCTTAGAAATGGGGAAAAAGCCTGCTTGAGAAATGAGGAATTGCTCACAGTAAAGTGGAAGGACAAATGGGATGTTTTCGTCCTGTTTTCCATTCACACAGACACGACCATCCAAATTGCCACGGCTGCTGGTGTTATTGTGAAGCCCCTCTGTGTATAACTTTAACATGGGAGAGGTGGACTTTAATGAGAAGATGATGAAGCTGTACTCCGTTTCCAGAAAAGCCAGATGCTGGTACAAAAAAAGTGTTTGTTTATTTCAGCTGGCTCTATATAATGCTTTTGTGCTTTACAAAGCAACTGGACGAAGTGGATCCTTCCTAAAATTCCAGGAAGAGATCATCACGGCCCTTTTGTATCCAGAAGGTGCTGTGGCCCAAACCCCCAATACAGATGCATGAGAGGCATTTTCCCGATGCCCTTCATGGTACCCCAACCCAAAGGACACCCCAAAAAAGATGTGTCTGTAGCAGACATTGAATTAGGAGTGACACCCGCTTTTTTTTTTTTTTTTTTGTCCCTCCTTTCCTGGCCAACCTAGTCTCTGCCTCAAGGGCTGCTCCCGTCGCTACCACACACTAGTGGAGTATTAGTATAGGGTACAGCACGAAACAGTTAAGTCACATATTTACACAGGGTCTGGAAAGATGTTGGGTAGTCAGGAAACTGACTATCGCATTTGGAGAGACCCTACAATCTGGTTTAAAAAAAAAATTAATAAAAAGTATAAATCCCCCCCCAAAAATTAAACATTTTAAAAACCAAACATATTTAGTTTTTTTTTTGTTGTCGTTTCTGTTCTACTGTTACAATTTTACGGTTTTATTGTGATCCATTGCTGTTTTCTTTGCAGGAATGCCATTCAGCTGTAGCACCGACTTGTTTAACAGAAACAGGAGCTTGCACTCAGAATATACATAAGTCAGTGTGGGCAGTGCTGTTGGAAGATATTTTTCATCCGCAGTTAAAAAAAAAAGAGCATATATGCCGAAGCATGGGGGCCAGGGGTGGCCAGTGTGTGGATGGCATGGCACCTATGCTTCTTCATATATATTTTATAATATTTGTTGGCACATTTCATGTGTGCCCACCATTAGATGTGGGTGTATGCAGGGAGGTATATTCTAATGGTGGGCAAACCAAACACTTTTTCTGGCAGAGATTTCTTCGGGGGAATCTGAGAATGCAGCTGGTGTTTCTGCCAGCTGACTATAGAGCTGATTGGAAAACGGAATGGTGCCAATCATCTCTGTAGTCTTAAGAAATCAGAAGCTACGAGCATTTCATCACTTCAGTTTCATAGGATATAAACAGCGCTGTTTGTAAATTGGGAAAGCATCTGATCACACCGATCTTGGTGAGATTAGATAATGTAAGGGCAGTGGAGATATCTAGAGTCTGATAGACCCCAGATTTAAAAACAAAAAGAATAGAACCATGCCCATTGACGTTATAGGGGATATTGGTGATAGCATTAAAAGTGATAAAAAAAAAAATCAAAGGGACAGTGTAAAAATAATGAAAAAAAATCAAATTGGCTTAAAAAAAAAAAGAGCACCCTCACCCCACCGTGCGCACACCAGCGTGCTCGAGCATTGACCCCGTGCCAGTATCTAAACAGCAGTTGCACCATGCATGTGAAGTATTGCCGCGAACTTCAGATCAAGACAGTAACTCTAGCACTAGACCACCTCTGTAAATCAAAAATGGTAGCTTGTAAAGTGTTGCCTATGGATATTAAAAATGTATGCAGTTTGCCGCCATTGCACGGGGCATATTTTACCAAATAATTGGCCAATATATTGTGTTTTTGTGCATTAAAAGTAAAAAAAAGTATTTTTTTTTCAAAAAATTTGCATTTGAAAAATGTGAAAAAAAATTGAAGCATCCACCATTTTATTCACTAGGGTGTCTGCTTTAAAAAATATATATATTATTTGCGGGTTCAAAGTAATTTCCTAGCAAAAAATACAGATTTTTGTTTTTTTTTCATGTGAACAAAAAGTGTTAGGTGGTTAGAAGAGAGAGTGGCATAAACTTCTAATGCAGGGCATAAAATGCTCCCACCCCCTTTTTAGAAAAGTAGACACCCCAAGGGGTCATTTGGGTGAAGGGGGTTGGTGCTATCCTGGCATTTCAGGGCCTCCGAATCTGATAGGAAGTGAAATGAGGAAGTTAAGCACCTTCAGGCTTTCAAAGTGGTCATTGGATTTCAGGCTCCTGTATGTGGCTAGGCTCCCAAAAAGTCTCTCACGTGGTATCCCCATACTCAGTAGAAGTAGCAGAATGTATTTTGGGGTGTAATTCCACATATACCCATGGCTTGTGTGAGCAATATATCATTTAAGTGAGAAATTTGTGTAAAAAAATAAAAATGTTGGTTATTTTTCAAAAACGTATGGGAAAAAAAATAAATCTTCCATGGACTCAATATGCCTCTTAGCAGATAGGTTAGGGTGTCTACTTTCTGAAAAGGGGTCATTTGGGGGTGTTTGTACTGTCCTGGTGTTTTAGCACCTCAAGAAATGTGATGGGCAGTCAGAAAGTAAAAGCTGTATAAATTCCATTATCTTTTCCATAGTTTGTAGATGCTATAACTTTCACACAGCGCAAAATATAGACATATTGGGATTTTTTTTTACCAAAAACATGTAGCAGAATACATTTTGGCCTTAATTTATGGCAAAATTTTAGTTTTTTTTGGATATTTTTTATGACCGAAATGAGAAGATATAATTTTTTTTTTTTTTTTTAATTTTCGGTATTTTTTTTTTTTTATAGCGCGAAAAATAAAAAGTGCACAGGTGGTCAAATACCACCGAAAGGAAGCTCTATTTGTGTGAAAAAAGGAAACAAATTTTATTTTATGAACATATTGCATGACTGTGCAATTGGCAGTTAAACTAGTGCAGCACTGTATAATAAAAATTGGCGTAAATTGCAGTATCTATACCATAATTTGTAGACGCTATAACTTTCACACAAAGCAATCAATATACACTTATTGAGATTTTTTTTTACCAATACGTAGCAGAATATGTTTTAGCCTAAATTTATGACTAACTTGGAGTTTACTACCGTATTTGCCGGCGTATAAGACGACTTTTCAACCCCTGAAAATCTTCTGAAAAGTCGGGGGTCGTCTTATACGCCGGTATACGGCGAGCCGGTGTGTCAGGGCGGCACTTTTTCCAGGGGCGGTGTCCTCCAACGGACACTAAGTACAGGGGTGGGCAGAGGGGCTGCTGTACCTTACCTGGCTCCGGTCCCGGTCCCACGATGATCCGGTCCAGGAAGCGCGGCTACTCCTTTCAGTTCGGCCGCTCGGCTCCGCCTCCTCACCGGTGATTGGGTGCCAGCGCACACAGGCGACCAGTCACCGGCGAGGAGGCGGAGCCGAACGGCCCCACGAAAATCAAGCTGCCGAACTGAAAGAAGGAGCAGCCGCTCCTCTCCCCCACTGACACCAATGATGGGGCACTATTCCTCCTCCCCACTGACACCAATGATGGGGCACTATTCCTCCTCCCCACTGACACCAATGATGGGGCACTATTCCTCCTCCCCACTGACACCAATGATGGGGCACTATTCCTCCCCCACTGACACCAATGATGGGGCACTATTCCTCCCCCACTGACACCAATGATGGGACACTATTCCTCCCCCACTGACACCAATGATGGGGCACTATTCTCCCCCACTGACACCAATGATGGGGCACTATTCCTCCCCCACTGACACCAATGATGGGGCACTTTTCTCCCCACTGATACCAATGATGGGGCACTATTCTCCCCACTGACACCAATGATGGGGCACTATTAGTGTCAGTGGGAGGAGTAGTGCCTCATCATTGGTATCAGTGGGAGGAATCATGCCCCATCATTGGTGTCAGTGGGAGGAATAGCACCCCATCATTGGTGTCAGTGGGAGGAATAGCACCCCATGGTAGAATACCATACTGAAATACCATACCATATTGAAATCAAATCTGATGTTTTTTCATTTTTATTTGGTGTGCGTTGGAAGAGGGGTAGTCTTATACGGCGAGTATAGCTCAAACCCTATATTTTAACAGGAAAAGTAGGGGGTCGTCTTATATGCCCAGTCGTCTTATACGCCGGCAAATACGGTATATATATTTTTCATAGCCATAAGTAAAATATATTGGGGTTTATTTTCAAAATTTTTAGTCTTTTTTTTGTTTATAGCGCAAAAAATAAAAAGCACACAGGTGATCAAATACCACTGAAAGAAAGCTCTATTTGTGTGAAAAAAAAGTAAATTTTGTTTGGGTACAGCATTGCATAACCGAGCAATTACCAGTTGAAATAATGCAGCGTTGAATAGCAAAAAAAGCCCTGGTCAGGAAGGTGGGTAAATCCTCAAGGGGGCAAGTGGTTACATTTTAGATTGGTTATGTCTTTATTTCACTAATATGCGTTGTTTTCTTTGCATTGGCTTTATTTATAGCCATGTTTTGCCATTTTTGTACATCTCTAGCAAAGTGTTCTAATATGTTTTTGTGATCACTATAGGGAGTGGCTGGCAATCCCATGGTGAAGTCTGTGCTGGATAAAACCAAACATTCAGTGGAGAGTGTGATCACCACCCTGGACCCTGGCATGGCTCCATATATCCGTAAGTGAAGACATGCAGAAAATACAGATGCATGCAATGTTGTAAGTGTTCTCAGCACACAGCTTGGAAATGCTGTTTCGTAATTCAGTGCAGTTTAGAAAAAGTAGGCCTTAATATTTTAATGGCTCGTTCATTCCTGGTACAATGAATAATAGGAATTAGAGACATGAAATTGATTGTAAATGCTCTTTAAAAATAAAAAGCCAGCATGTTTATACTTAACTGCTCTGTGCAATGAAATTGCACAGAATAGCTCAACCCCACGAACCTCCTCTTCTTGGGTTCTCCACTGGTTCTCCTGGCCCCTCTTTTCCGCCAAGCCACTTTATATGGGGGTACTTGTGTGGACTTGCTCTCAAACCTGGCTGTTTGCGCTATTGACAGACTTGGCCCTGCTTCCTCATCGTGGGCTTTGATTGACAGCAGCAGCGACAAGGAACCTGCTGCCTCAAAAAAGCCAGAGAGACCAGGAAGTTAAGAGAGAGAAGAGCTGCAGAGGGGAACAGCGCTGGATAGAATGAGGGCTCAGGTAAGTAAAAGAAGGATGAGGGGAGATACTGATGCTTAAAATTTTTTTTTTTTTTTTTTTTTTTTTACCTTAATGCAAGGAATGCATTAAGGTAAAAAATGTTTAGGCTTTATAACCACTTGAATCATCATTTTCTATCATCTCATTTATTTTTTCTGAATGGTGTAAAATATAATGATGAATGAATCCTTTTAATACATGTAAAATTTGTCGAAAGACCAATTGTATTTTAAAATTGGAGATTGTTGTGCACCAGGTGCTTGCAGCATGAGGTCAAAATTAAGTCTTTGTTAGTTTAAAATGGTGCAGAGGACATCTGTTGGCGCACATTTTTTTTGGGGGGGGGTTTAAAGTGGTTGTAAACCCATAATCTATACCCAGTGAAGTGGCTAACCTCAGATGATTCACAGAGATGAAACAAATTCATCTACATAAGTTTTACCCATTTATCTGCCGCCCTCTCATTACAGCCTCACAGATCACAGGATTTTTATTAGCTCCAGAAAGCAAGTGGTGGACACTTGATGTCGCGCTGCACAGCGTACAGCAGGTAGCTGGGTGTAATCTGAGACCTGAGCGGAGTGGAAGGACAAATCCCTCTCAATGCAACCTAATAGGGAAGTGGGGGGGGGGGGGGGCACTAAGACACATCTACCTTGTGTGCGTTTGGGGATGGACCATCAGCAATGGGGGTTAGTAGAAGGTCCATGTGGAGGTGGTGTCCACGTCCATCTTTAATGGGGGGCTTGTAGTAGTATGGACTTGTCAGAGGAGGCAGCCGTCTGTAAGAGCTTGTAGATACTCCTAATGCAGGTAGAGAAGAGAGACCGCAGTGCCACTCTAAGTGTGGAAGGTTAAAATCAGGCAGACTTAATGGTAAAATTGCACTTACATAGGTAGGTAACAGGTAGTCATGTCAAGGGATGGAGGTCCAGTGGGAGCATCAGGTCCTTTTGGCCATGCTCTGTGTGTTTTCCCCCGCCGCTCCGGTGGTGTCCAGGGTGCAGGGAGTAGCCGAGGGGCCCAAGGAGGCTCGCAGGGATGATGTCATCGCCATCTTGGAAACCCGGTCCATGTGGAGACATCATCCCTGCGAGCCTCCCTGCGCCCCTCTGCTACTCCCAGAGCCCTGGACACCACTGGAGCGGTGGGAAAACACGCAGAGTGTGGCCAAAAGACCTGATGCTCTCCCACTGGACCTCCATCACTTGACATGCCTACCTATTACCTACCTATGTGAGTGCAATTTTACCATTAAATCTGTCTGATTTTAACCTTCTGCACTTAGAGTGGCGCTGCTGTCTCTCTTCTCTGCCTAATAGGGAAGGCTCAGTCACCTTCTGTGTGCTGGAGGGGGGCTCGGGCTGTCTCCTGAGATTCTGATCGACAGACTTGAGTGGAGCAGTGAAGCACTGTGATAGTGCAGTGCTGAAAAACAGGTGCAGGTGCTTGTTTTCTATATGGTTATTGTGACTGCCCCAATCAACGTGTCTTTGCTAATCATACACAGGAACAGTGTTTAACCAATAGGCCTTATTTTCACAGACTAATATTTTTTTGTTTGTTTTTTTTTTTTTAATACACAGGGGATGGGCGTGTTTTTTTTATAAAGATTAGGTAAAGAGAAGTAAAACTGCTGGTCACAGCTAATAAAATAAACACAGTACATATTTCATCATATTGAAGGCTAAAAATGTAAAATGCAAAACTTGCTTAACTAATGATTGTGGGTAATAGTTGTAGTTTTTTTTATACACTCCAGTATTTACAACGTAGTGTGTTAGATGCTAAGTAATAACCCAAGTGTTACATCTTGTGGCTGATGATAGTCCTGTTTATGCACAAAAGGACTGCTGTTACAAATACTGGCATTAGAGGGCAGTGCTGCTGAGCTGATTGCATCTGTACAGTGCACTTTGTTAACCACTTGCCCTCCAGAGGATCCCCCCCCCCCTTCCTGACCAGGCCATTTATTGCTTTATGGCGCTGCATTACTTTAACTGACAATTGCGTGGTCATGCAGCGCTACGCCCAAATTAAATGTATGTATTTTTTTTTCCCAATGAACTGAGCTTTCTTCGGTGGTATTTGATCGCCTGTACGTTTTTTTTTTTTTTGTTTTTTTTTTTTTTTTGTGCTGTAAAAAAAAAAAACAACAATTTTGAGAAAAAAAAACAACATTTTTGAATATTTGCCATTACTATAAAAATGTCCAGTAAAAACATTTTTAAATTCTAATTTTGTCCTAAATTTAGGCCAAAATGTATTCTGCGAGATGTCTTTGCTAAAAAAAAAAATCCTAATCCGTGTAAATTGATTGGTTTACGGAAAAGGTATAGCGTTTACAAATGGCGGTATAGATACTGGAATTTTGCTTTGTTTTACTAATAATGGTGGCGATCATTGACTTATAGCGGGACTGCGGTGGGCATTCTGTCATTGGGGGAACTGACTTGGTGTCACTGACATCCCCAGTGACACCAATACAGTGATCAGTGCTTTAAAAAAAAAAGCACTGACACTGTACTAATGGCACTGGGCAGAAAGGGGTTAACATGAGGGGCGATCAAAGGGTTAGCTGTGTGCAGGGAGTGTTTTACTGGGGGCCGTGTGTTGGTTCTTCACTGCAAGCACACTGCTTTGGATGGCTGTGCACAGCCATCCAGAGCAGTGTGACCGAGCCGATAGGGAGGAGGACTGTTAGTAAACAAAGCAGCCCTCCTCCCCTTCGTAGATCCTCGGTAATCACCGGACGCCGGCGGGTAACCCCCAGCCGGGACCTGGTGATTGACAGTTGCGAATGGCGGCGTGGGTAGGGCGCTCCTGGCTCGTGCGCTCCCCCTACTCGGAAATGCAAAATCACGTGTATATACAGGATTTTGCGCACTGCTGCCGCACTGTAGCAGTTTATCTGCTATAGGGCAGCGGGGGGGTGTGGTTAAGAATAACTACCACCAAAACAAAGAAAATACTTTTCATGTTCAGATAGAATTCTGGTTGGGAATTACGTGTCTATTTTAACCAATTAATTACCGGTGCTTTCACCCCCTTCCTGTCCAGGCCAATTTTCAGCTTTCATTGCTGTCACACTTTGACAATTGTGTGGTCATGCAACACTATCCATATGAATTTTTTTTTAATTTTTTTGAGACCGATGGAGCTTTTTTTTTTTTTTTTTTTTTTTAGTGGTATTTAATTACCACTAGCTCTTTTTTATTTTTTGCTAAACAAATGGGGAAAAAACCCCCAAATATTTGAAAAAAGTGATGAAAGAAATACCGATAACTGGCAAGTCTGTTTACATGTGATCAGCTGTGATTTGGAAACAGCTGATCACATGGTAAAGAGTCGCTGTGATTGGCCCTGTACCATGATCTGTGATCAGCTGGGTCCAAAGGACACAGCTTTCACGGAGTGTGCCTGATGGACGCACATGTGAGCACGTCCAGTGAACTGGAGAGCCGCTCTGCAGCAGTCTTTCGGCTATAGCATGGTAGGGAAGTGGTTAATTAATACAGTATGCCCAGTAATATGTTTTTTGTTTAGACATTTACATATAATAACTAATTAGTTTTATTGTATACTTGCTGTTGGCTGTCATTTTTTGTGCTGGTGTTGTACAGTTACAATAAGAACATCTTATGGCATCTCTTGGATTGGTTGTTAGAGGTAATCTGTTATGATTCAGATATGTGAGCTGTTATTTCTCAATTTGGACTGATTACAATCTAAAGGGAAAACAGCCAGTTGCTTGCACCTTTCAAAATAAATGAGGATAGGAATCTTTTTTTTTTTTTTTTTTTTTTTTTTTTTTTTTTTCCTGACAGGATTCTGCTTATTTGGTTAGAAAAGATACAGCTGGTGGTGAGCTGAGTAAATGCGTTACTGAGTTTCAAGAATGTCAGTCTGTGGTTTTTTTTAGCTTTTATTTGGACAGTCTAACCATCTCAAATCTTTAATGATTCCGAATAATCATGCCAAGTAATCCTTAGATCTACTGCTGTGCAGTGTGAAGGGGGTTAGGGCAGCAGTTATTGTACAAACGAGAAATGCCCCTGTATAAGCTGTATAAAATCTAGTATAGATACAGTGCCTTGAAAAAAGTATTTGTACGCCTTGAAATTTTCCACATTACAACCAAAAACGTAAAAGTAATTTATTGGGATTTTATGTGATAGATCAACACAAAGTGGCACATAATTGTGAAGTGGAAGGAGAAAGATAAATGAGTTTCAAATTTTTTTCAAATATCTAAAAAGTCAGGCATGCATTTGTATTCAGCCCCCTTTACTCTGATACCCCTAACTAAAATCTAGTGGAACCAATTACCTTCAGAAGTCACCTAATTAGAAAATAGTCCACCTGTGTGTAATTTAATCTCAGTATAAATATGAGCTGTTCTGTAAAGCCCTTAGAGGTTTGTTAGAGAACATTAGTGAAAAAACAGCATCATGAAGGCCAAGGAACACAC